GAGAAAAGAGGAGAGAAACTCATTCACGTTTTTTGCAACCAATCTCACTAAATCGATGATCCCTAATTTGTTAATTGTTTGGTCGAGCTCAAATTTGGTAGGAAGGTTCGTAACACATATATCTAACTTTTGACCGTTCAGAATTTCAATAAAACGTCTGAGGTGTGTCGCTACTGCGAAAATCGGCGCCGGCTGAACAGAAGAGTCGCCACCGTGCGTTATTTATCCCAACGGGGGGAAAGGAAACGCTCGAAGTAAACCTACCGCAAATACTGGAAAGGAATGGTCATCGCAACCAAATCTGGATTCGGGAGTCGGTTACGCAAGGGGAAGGTATTAGCACCCCTCACGTCCGTCGTACTCGACGGGATCCACGCTTGTTGGTTTGTCTAAAGGATGCAAAAACAATCTATCTACGGTTGCTAAATCTAAACGGAAAGGGAATTGACTCGATAAAGCGTCGCACTCTATGCCTAAGTATTCTCAAGAGAGAAAGTCAGAGTCAACGTAGTTCGGGAAACTACAGGGAATTGGCTCGCCAAGACCTCGCGTCTTGTGCCTACGTACTTCCACACAGCATAAAAGATCAGAGCTTTCGTAGTTCAGGCTAACTACGGCTAGGCAGGGTGTTCTCACACAGGAGTGAGATATTTAAATTGTTTTGAGAGGTACGGGAACTAAAGCTACGGTCTGGTCTCACATGCGCAAGGGCAAGAGAAAGGGGAAAACAATCAGTCGTCAGCGGGAAAGTCTCGATTGCACAGCAGCGAGAGAACAGAAGAGTTAGTTGTTAGTGTGTTCGCTAGGATATCGCATCCTATGCCTACATATTCTCGCTCAGTACGAGAAATCAGAGCAGCTGTAGTTCAGCTACTTTCGGGACCACAACTCAAATCTCGTTTTATTGATATTCGGAAAATGGTTACAAGGATTGAAAACTGGAAAATAAACTCCTAAAAGATATCCTATCCAACTATCATGGAAAATCACATGGAAATAGTCCCCTAACAAGTGGACTTCTAACTCTACCTCTAAAAGGAAAGTGTAAAATAAATTCTATGAAGAAAATATCCTAAAGAGAAAATATTAAATCCATGAGCTAATATTTTTATCATTTTTCTCTATTCCTTTTCATATTCTTTTTCCCATATATTTTCTTTTTTCCTCATTTCTATATTTCCCTTTTTTAATATTCTTTTCTTCCACTTCTTTCTCAATATTCTCTTTTTTTTTCCTCAAATATTTTCTTTTTCTCATATTCTTCTCTATTATTCTTCTTCATTCTATAGAAATAAAAAGAATGCTATAAAAGAATTAAAAAGGAAAATAAGGGGCAGGGGGTGTACATAGTTACAGGGGTACATCAGCAGAAAAAAATAAAACACAAAATGAGGGCCCAGCCCAATACTCCAAAAACGGAAAAGGGAGTGTGGAAACGAAAAACTGGAGGCATAGTCAGCAAAAAAACATTGGGCTTCGAGGCCCAATCCACCCGGTCCACTCCACTCTCCTCAGAAACCCTAATCCACCCTCTCCACTCCAATTCACTGTTCATTGCGTCGTTTCTCAACCTTCAGACTCTCTCTCTCTCGTTCACCTCTCAATCCAATCCTCTTCTCCGTTTGCTTCAAACCAATCCACCAAAATAAACCAACAGAGATAGTCTTCTACCTTTAATCTTCCCCAAAAGACGTTATTGAAAGAAAAAATGAAAACGGAGATGTAGATCAGTGAAGTTGATGGTGCGTTCGTGAATGTTGATGGTAGGAGACGAAAAAACAGTTTAGTGTATGTTCGTTGGGTTGATGACGATGAACAACTCAAAGGAAATCTGGATTTGAAGCGTGCGACGATTTCTTGCTCAGATCTGATGAATGTCTGGTGAATCTCAAGACGAACACTTGAAGCTTTTCTGGAACACTTCTTGGACGTTCTTGATGAAGACTATTGCAACTTTCTGGAAACGGTTTGAAGATCTTGATGACTTTGTTGTTTGCAAATCTTGATGAATTTGTTGAAGATACATACGAAGGTCTTGCATCTGGAGAGTTCTGGATCTGGACGATTGATGTACGAAGATCATAAAGAACGAGGAAGATCTTGCCATTTTCTGGAAAACTATGGAGGACCGATGAATGATGTTGATGAACAATGGTTTTGATGATTATTGCAGATTGATAAAAAAACTGGAAAACGGTTACGATGAAGATCGAAGATCTATGAATCTTGAAGCAAATGACGGAGATCTTACGAAACCTGATGAACGCTTGCGAAGATCTGGACACCTGGTGATTTGATGGACCTCTGAAGAACATTGAAGGAGGTTGATGATCTAGAAATTTCTTGTAGAATCTTGATCGTGATGAACGGTTTGATGAACTGACGAAGGTTCTTGGTGAAGATTTAGGGATCTGGAAAACAATATGAAGAGAACGATGAAGTTCTTTGCAGATTCCGACGAGTTAGAGGTTTCCGGTGAAATTTTGGCTGCGAGAACCACCGCTTGATTCCCACGGTGAGTTCTCCGGTGTTTGCATGCCGGTGGGGAGGGATGTGGTAGTGGATAACACGTGGCGTGTGCAGTGTGAAGGTGGGACGCGGGGAGGACACGTGGTGGTGGAATCACTGCATGGAAGCCAAGTGGCCTGAGGGTGGGGTGTCAGAGAGAGGCTAAAACGTGGCAATTGGAAGTGTGTGAAACGTGGAATGACTGGGTGAAAAATCTGAATGCACGCGTGGCCTTATATATGGGTGACAAGTGGCAATGGAGAACTTGGACTGATATGGGGATTGGGCCTCCAAGAACTGGGCCCACGAAAATTCAGACTAAATGAAGACTTAATTGAAATCTGACCCATTAATCCTAATTAATACTAATTAAAACTAAAAACTACAATTAAAAACTGATTAAAGACTTAAAACCTAATTAACTAATGGATATTCAATTAACACTAACTAAGAATTAAAACTACAATTAACGCCTAAAATGAAAATTAAAACTAATATAATTCCTAATTAACACTGATTAGCTCAATTAAAATCTAAACAAAAGATTAAAATCCTAATTAATCTCTATTAAGTCCTAATTAACTCTAATAAAGAGAATTAACCTAAAACTATATTAATTCTAAACTAATAAAACTCCACTAATTTCTATAGAAAAACTATATTAATTTCTACTTAAAAAAAATACCTATTAAAAGAATATTCTATTAAACTATTATCTAAAAATGACTTAATATCTAAAAAAAGAATTATTCTAAAAACAATTTACAATCTATTAAAACTATTTAAAAGAAATCCATAAATTCTAAAAAAAATTTAAAACTATTAAAATATTAAAAGAAATCTATTTAAATTCTAGAAAATCTATATTAAAATCCGTAAAAGGCTATTAAACCCTAAAAATGCAAACAAAGGCAAATAACCAACATAAAAGAGAGCGTGAGACCAGATCGAAGCAAACAGTAAACCCCGACACCAAGAACCTCCAAAATCACTGCGTAAGCTGAAAACACCCAGGAAGCGCGTGACTTCTCAAAATAACCTCCAATTATCCGAACCGGTCTGAGATACCCGAAATGCGACAGCAGGGCTGTAATCCCGATAAAATCACCATGATTGAGAAAATGCACTATATGCAGTATGTAAATGCGAATGCGAAATGCGTCGAAACATCGAGCCAGATACGGGACCCGGTTGGTCAAATTTTAGGGTGCAACAAGGTAAAAGTTATTTACTTTGCACTGATGCTGCAAATTTGGGAAATTTTTCAGCTTTTTAATTCTTATTTGTAAGCTAATTTGTTTTGTGATTTGCGATTGTTTGCACTAGTTTGTGAATCACTTTAAAACTCTCTTGTACCTTTAATTGATTATAGTTGAGTTATTTCTTTGGTCTGAAAGACTCGTGATTTTTACTCTCATACTGAGGAATTTTTCACGTTAAAAATATCAGTGTTCTTTTGTATCTTTATTTGTTCGATTTGTCGTCTTATATTTGTTGTTGATCTTCAAGGTTCCTACAAGTTTGAGAAGTTTTATATCCGCTGCGTATTGGTCTATTATTGTGTCTTAATTTGTCATCACAATGTCGAACTCTAATCTGGTAGTCTACGCGCGCATATGTAGAGCAAACTTCTATTTATTTGTAAATTATTTTTAGTATATACCTAAACATCATTTGATTTAACATTCATAGATTAGCCTCGAAGACAACATCAGGGTGCACCATAACTATTACCAATCATAACATAAGACATTTTAAATTCAATATCAAAACAGTCCAAATTGAACACAGTGTGACAAAATATGGATTTTAAAATCCGGATGCAACATACATATTTTAACAAATTAAACTAGGTGATCTAAAGCAATGATGAATGTAATACATATACAACACTAGAAATTTCAATTTCTTTGGCTCCTTTTAATACTAAAATACAGGCAAATATTATTTTGATGTAAAAAATCTTAAATGAGAATGGAAGGAGAATTATATAGGACTTTTCGAAAAATGATGTTATGATCACGAAGAATATGAAGATTGTATGATGCAAGGAGACAACCAATTCGTTTTTCAACTGAGAATTCTAATTATTGTAATCTAGAATGTTTCCAGAAAATAAATTTCAAACATATATTTTATATAAATGAACATAACATGCCTTATTGATAAAGTGATTTTATTACCAAAGAATATTTTAAAATTTCTAGAGTATATGATCACTGCATAATGTATTGAACAACACCCATCTCTCAATTTTCTCAACTTATATCACTTTGCATGACCCTTTTTTTTTAGCTGTCAAGGTCTTGTTTTTGTTAGAGCTGTCAATCAAATTCAACCTGTTAGGGGGTATTAACCTAATACAAATATTTATAGAGCACATAACCATAAATTTAATGAACAACCTTAACAAAAATTCAAAACCATCCACTATTTAAATTATCAAGAATAATATATTTCAATATCATGAATCACACCAAAACAATGTATGATTAAGAATGTTCATTAGCAATATTCTTTGAAAGACTCCGAAGGAAACGAGTGAGGGCCTTCTTAGTCTTAATGTCTAATATCTCAATTTTTTTCTCCTCTTCTCCATTAGTAGCATTCATTTCTTGAGCAGAGTGCGCTTTGCGTACGAGCTTTCTCAACTCCTGCAAAAGATAGGAACATTGTGTATGGAAAACAAAAGATAAGCGTATTTTATGCCAATAAACGTAAACAATTTGAAAAACAATCTTTATTCTTGGAAAGAATTTTAAGTGAATCTCGCCAAAAACATAGGCTTACTCTCTATTTAAAACGATTCACAGAAAATTTCCCCTTTATAAAAAACTTGGTTAGAAATATTAGATGTATGTTTCACAGGTAACTGATGTTGTGAAAGCGTTAGAAGGCGCATGTCTGCAGCAACTTCATCATGCGTATTGCAAAAAATTACCTGACGGTCAAACTCAACACCTTGAATAGAATAAACTTCATTGGTGATTTGAATGTCCTTGCTGATTAAACCATCAAACCACCTTGTTACTTGACTCTCATCATATAATTTATATTCCTGATAAATTGCTCAAAATGTAAGAACACATTGTTCGGACTTAGTGCATTGTAACTAAGCTATCAAAGAAAGCAGAAAGTAAAAAAAAAAACTACCCAATTACACCCCTCTATTATAAGGATGAGATAACGGTTCAGTATTATGCTTAATAATCTCATCTCTAAAGATAAGAAATTTAGACATGAACTCATACCTCATCCTCCTCCTCTTCTTCAGTTTCTATCAAGTTTTCATCATCATCTTCAAGATCATTGGAACCCAAGCCTGTTAAAGCTTGCAGCTCTTTGTGATCAGAATCCTTTGTTGCTTTTATTAATCGATCCATTAATTCCGGTTCCACGTCCCGTAGCAATTTTCCTGAGATAACAGTTTATGTATGAAGAACATGAATCTGCTGAGAATGGACATAATAATACCATAGTAATTCTTATCAACTCACAATGACTATTGACAAGTGTAGTGTAGTTTACTATTACTTGAGGTGTACATACCAACTCATGATTAATGTCAAAAGAAATGGTAATGATAATTAAATGAACAAATGTTCAAGCAATATTGTCAATTATCACATAAATTAGCAGTTTGTTCAAATTTCACTATGTTAAACAGCATCTCGTGAAACAATAACAATTTGTTCCAATTATGTATGCTATAGCAGGATAAGACTTGGTTGTTGTCGTATGGACGCTACCCACCGCTGTAGCTGTTCAATCGTGACAAAACATTATGCTTCCAAAGTATGCATGTTGTGTTGGTTAGCCACTGGGTAGGTTTGCCAGAGTTCAATCGAGACAAAACAACTACTGGCCCTATTTAGTCATGATTTAACTCTGACAAACCTATTATGAGGCTCTATTTAATCACAAGCAAATTTGAAGCTCTTAGCTATAGTCCATCTTGCACACCCTCAAAGACAGCCTCATATACATGTTGAGTAGTCAACCCGAAAAGCCTAATATAACATGACATAACATTATGCTTCCAAAGTAATTGGTGAGTTAATTACCTATATAATTGAACTGGCGCCGCCTTCCTTCGCGGACATCCGGTCGCATTCTCTGCGGCAAAACAACAAACACCTTCTCTTCAATAAACTTGAATCAGTAAAATAAACATTATCTATAGAACCACAAACAGAACTATTATAATTTATCATGACAATGAAAACACTAGTGATTAAGACAGAGATGAAAAGAAAAGAACCTTAACCAAGGCAATAGCTTCGAAAACAATTTGGTCCAACGAAACCACTCTGCAACATCCAAAAACAAAATTCATCAAAGATTGAAACTTTAAGAAGCAGGGATTGAGAAATGAAGAAAAAGGAAGGAACCTGAGGATTCGTTTGATTTGGGGAGAAGAGAAGGAAGCTAAATCCATCCCCCATTTGACAGCACGTTTAGCTTCACGCTTCATTTGGTTGCGGCTCTTAATGGAAGAATCTTCTTGTTGTTGTTCTTCGGGAAGTCTATCTTTGAGTTGGGTTGCAGCGGGTGTGGGTGGTGGAACATGGCCTCTTCGGAGGCTTCCGCGGGATGCAGTGATTGTGAAACGACGAGTTTTTGTGGGTTGTGGTGATGATGACGATGGTGTTTGAAGAAGAAGAAGATGGGTTTGGTGGTGTAATGGTGAAAGTTTAGAAGAAGTAAGATGGTGAAAGAGAAAGAAACATGGGGAATGTCTTAGAGAGCGTAATACTAGTTGTTGGCTCATATGTGACGGAAGGAAGGAAACTCAAAACTCAAATGTGTTTTCTTTTAGGTGTTTCTTTGATGATGATGATGATGATGCATTTTATCTCACTATCTATGTCTCTGCTCTAGATACATTTTACTCCCTCTACTTTTTTGTTTTGTTTTTAGTCAAACCAAAACTAAGTTTGTGCCAAGAGCTTGGAATTAGATAAGGGTAAAATATAACATCCTCATAAGTCAATATTTAATTTTAATCTCTTTAAATTTTTTCTTCAAATAATGGTTTTTACAAATTTATTTGTTCATAAAATTAGTTTCTCCCGTTAATTTCTATAGACGGAAACTGACGAATCATGCCACATAAATTTTAATTTGTAGCTAATTCGTAGTTAATTTGTAGCAATTTCAATTTAACCTTCATAATTAATTTCTTTCTATCATTTATTGGTAATTTCAACTTAGATGCCTACTTCAACATATTAGCCACATATTTGCTTTTTAGATCTCTCGAAGTTATATCAAAAAACAAAAGTAATTGGGTCAGTCATTTCGTCGAACATGTAACGTGTAAGTTGTGGTTTTTAGAATTTGAGTTGTCCAAGCTTTGATAATGATAACAATTCAAATTGCATTGAAACATTTACACCCAAAAGCATGTGGGGTTATTGGTGTTGTTTGATTTACTGGTGTTTCATCATCACACTTTCTTCTTCCATTAGTTTTGTTACACTGTCATAGTAGAGAAATTGTTTTTGTTCAATTAAATATGTTATTCTATTTTGCTTATTTATTTACTATCATGTAGTTATTCAAGATATACAGTAATCATTTCATCTTTTGTATTTTATTTAACTTAAATTAGTTTCAGTCAATTTTTATATTTGACCATTTCATTTTTACAAAATTAATATTGAATTGGTTATATAAGTGGTAGGATGCCTTTAAGTTGAAGTGAACTGGAATTTATGTATTACATAGTGTTTATTTGTCTATTCTTCTACCTCCTCCAAGATTTTTGATGTGGAAATTTGTATAAATCTTTCATGAATATTATAACTTTTGTACAAAATTTCAAACCTATGCAGACAATTGCAACCATGATGCCTGCGTGCACAAAAGGCTGATCCAACAAAATTGGAGGTGCTTCTTCCTCTTGATGTCATCTGCAACCTTTGCTTTGTGTCAAGAAAAAGAATTTCTGTTTGTGTTTTTTTGAGGTTTAATCTAAGAAATTTTTTTTGTTGAGTTTCAGGGACGTGGCAAATAAAATTTACACATCTAAAAAAACACAGATGGCATGACAAGTAGGCCTCCATTAGTGAAAACTAACGGGAGGGGCCAATTTTAGGGACAGAAAAGATTGTGAGAACCATTGTTTGAAGAAAATTTTTAAAATGACTAAAATTGAATGTTGGCATATTTATAAGGAATACAAACATATTTAGCTCATAAGATAAAGATACTATGGTATTTGTTTTTACACAAATTTAAATATAAATATGTTTTCTTATAATTCAATATCTGATTCTAGGATCGACTAATCCATCAATTTTAAGACCGATTAATCCGATTATCAATTACATTGCCTATTTGGGAGTCCCGATTAAAACAAATGCATTGTTGTGTATGAACTCACACAACACATAAATTGTTAATGATCTCTAAAAATATTTTCAACTTTGTTGTAAAAAAATTCAACAAGTTTTAGTCTCTGTTTTGGCCTGGGCACCGGCCTGACCGGGAAGGCCCAGCCCATATACACTTGGGGGAAGGCCCAAAGGAGCCTTCCTCATCTGTGTCGAGCACAAGACTCCCCGTCGACCAAACACTGCCCCGTCGGGTATAACCTTCCTCATCTGTGTCGAGCACAAGACTCCCCGTCGACCAGACACTGCCCCCGTCGGGCAGAACCTTCCTCATCTGTGTCGAGCACAAGACTCCCCGTCGACCAGACACTGCCCCCGTCGGGCAGAACCTTCCCTCCGCGGGCAGGACCTTACCCCTCCGCGGGCAGGACCTTACCCTCCGCGGGCAGGACATTCTCCCCCTCCACGGGCAGGACCTTACCCTCCGCGGGCAGGACCTTACCCTCCGTGGGCAGGACCTTCTCCCCCTCCGCGGGCAGGACCTTATCCCTCCACAGGAAGATCTTTCCCCCTCCGCGGGCAGGACCTTGTCCTCCGTGGGCAGGACCTTCTCCTTGTCGGGCAGAACAATGTGTCCTTCACACGTTCTCCACGTGCCCCCTCCGCGGGGACATGTCATCGACCAACTGCCCACCTCCGAAAGAGCAGGTCAAACCCATTTTCCGGAGATCACGGGACAATTGGACTAGGGTGAAGACCACGTCCTGGTCTTCACTACGCCACGTAAGCCCTATCAGTCATCTGGGTTGGGCCTGACAATCCAGCCCAACACAAGTGACCGTTGGCCCAGCGTTGGGGTCTCTCTATAAATACCCTCTTCTACAAGAGGGTCAGGTAATTCACTTCTTACCCCATTTATGTATTTGCTCTCAGTCTGCTCAATTCCTTACTTTGGCATCAGAATGTCTTGCAGGTACACCCCCTTTCTCCTCCTCATCACCGGTGAACAGATAGTAGTCCAACAGAGTATGGCCAGCTAGTGATCCCCTTCTGATCAGGTCAGATCAGTCTCTAATATAATTCCCATTACCCTTTCAACTGCCACACTTAATTGGTGATCAGTGCATATTTATGCACATTCTCCTACATTTTTACTTAGGCATTTTTTTATTTTATTTTGTTTATTATTATATTTTATTATGTTTTCTTATTTTATTTTATTTTTGGTTTAATTTAATTTTCGCACTTATTTTTCAGCTTTAGCAGTCTACACGAAAACGATCATAACTGGAGTTCCGAGAATCCGTTTGAGGCGTTCTAAAAATCGTCGGAAAGCTAAGAGAGAGAGCTACGACTTTCGTGTTGGAGTCAAAGTCACATTCGAAGCTCAAAATTCCAGAATTTCGTTTCAAGTTACAGCATTAGAATTCTGTTTTAGTTTTGATCTTGTTTTGGGTCTGGGTTATGTTTTTGACCCAGTTGGGTTATGAACTGAATCCATTGTTTTATTTTGAGGGGAAACCTCGTTTACAGTATCCTATACACTATTCACGAAAATATTTGTTGGAGCTTTGTATGAATTATGGAGAACTAATTCATTCGGATTAATTTGCTGTAATCGGTTCCCGCCAACACTTTGAGGTTCTTTTAATTTCCAATAAAATCTATTTCCTTTCAATTCTTCTCTATGATATTTTGTTTGCTTAATTCGATTTATCTTAGGGATGATTGATTTATTTTGATGATTGCATGTTCTTATACTTTAATCGCGGTTGCTTAATCCGCGTATGTTTCTCGTGTTTGCTTAATTCACGGTTACTATTTTATCTGTTTGCTTAATTCAGAAATTAGAAACGTGTATCGTATAATATCAATTGCGCTTGTTAATTGTTATTATAATCGGAAAGGGGATAGAATCCGCTTAGGAATTGGGAATTATTAGGATCGATGATAAGTTGGGAAACGAAAACAGTAGATTAGCCGTTTCAACTCATTACTACAATCACTTTTTCTAATCACTTATTTTTCGTTTATTTTATCTTAATCAAAACCCCCCATATTTCGTTACTGTATTTGATTATTCCTACAAGAATCCTTGTGAGACGATATTCCGAGTCACTGTCGTTGTACTACATTTTTCTAAAATTACTCATTTTTTGATCCGCGAGCGACTGCGGATCAAATTGGCGCCGTTGCCGGGGATTCTTGTCGTTATTAATCAATTTTAGAGTCATAGGGTTAGTTAGTATCCTCGAGTCTAGACCTTAGTTTCCTCGTGGTTTCGTCCAATTCGCGTCTTACAGTCCAAATCGTAAAAAAAATCTGTTTTTGGAAAAATTGTGTCCGATCGTAAAACTGTTTTTCCTACGAGAACGAGAAAAAAAATCCTTTTTCTATTTTTAATAAATTTTTTACTGTTTTCATAGAGTCTAAAAAAATCGAAAAAATTCTCATAATTGTTATTTTGCTTAATTAGTTTAATTCTGGTATTATTTTATTTTTTTGAAATTTAATTAATTGTTTTCCATCATTGTGTTTGAGTTTGAGTCTGAGTCTGAGTCTGACTATCTGCATAACTTGTTTGCTTCGGATACTGAACTTGATTTTGAAATGGCTGATAATAGAACCTTAAGACAATTAGTTGCCCCTGATGTAAATTATAATAGCTTGTGTATTGAATATGATGATGTTGATGTTCCTTTCGAATCGAAATCTGGTTTAATACACTTGTTGTCAAGGTTTAATGGACTTGCAGGTGAGGATCCGAATAAGCATATGAATGAATTCCAAATTGTGTGCTCTACACCTTCTGAACCTTCACTAGAGGACCTTGTTAAGCAAATGGCTATAAATGATCTTCAGTTTCAGCAACAAATAGATTCAAGTCTTCAAGCTTTGCAGACACAGATTGAACAGCTTGCCACTATAGTGAATGTCATGCAGCAAGCTCAAGATTCAAACCAACCATCTGCCCAAACAGTAGTGAATCCAAAAGAGTTTCCTTCTAATTTAGTTGATGATACTTATTCTGAATTGTATTTTGATTTTCCATCATTAGCAGATTTTGATGATACTTACTCTTGTGATTCATGTACCGACACTAACATTTGCTCTGTTTGTGCTGAGATTAATGTTGTCGTGCAGGGTGATGTTTTTCATGCAGATGAAGTTATTTATGTAGCTAAAACTCTTAACATCACGGCTGCCCCAACCTCACCATCCATTGAACAACCTCCCCCCTTGGAGCTTAAACCACTTCATACTAATCTGAATTATGCTTATTCAGATATGGATAAAAAACTTTCAGTTATAATTTCTTCTAACCTTGATTTTGATGAAGATAATAAACCTTTACAGGTTTTGAAGAAACATAAGAAGGGAATTGGATGAACCTCGATGAAGTGGGAAGAAAAGCAGTGAAGCAACCCCTTAA